AGATGTGTATAAGAGACATGGGGTGGAAGGGGTGGCTATTTTTTTTCATTGACTTAAAATAACTAAATTAAAGGGCTTCCACTTTATCGGTAGCGAAGTTAAACAGTAGGTTTATAGGAGCATTCGGAATGTATTTGCATGATAGTGATGCATTTGAGCATGAAGAAAAAAAAAGGTACGGAAGGGAAAAACCATGTGACTTGCAGTTTTACTAGGCTTGAATAGACCTTTCTGGAATGTCAATCAAGCTTAACAACTGACCAATCACAAGTGGTCACGTCATGTCTGATCAGCTGCTGATAGGCCCACTTGCCTATGTCCACAATGACATGGGCCAGATAGACAAGCACACCGGGGTAACCCCTTACTTCTCAAAATAATAATAATGATGTACTGTACTAGGCTCTTTTAAGTGCACACGAGCAAATTGTTCTTGAAGCCTTGAAAAAATTTCCACCAACTTATTAAGCATTATGCTGGTACAAATAGCCATAATATTGTTCTCAAATGAGAAACGTCTTCAAGGTTTTGTTAGTTTCTGGCCTTAAATTTAAACATCATTGGACTGAATAGAAACGGCAACTTGAAAACATAAAACCAAGCATATCCTGACATGAAATATAATAGTATATTGTGACAGACCTAGTTTTAAGGTGGCGGTACCATTAAATACTCATTTGTGAAGACGGACAACAAAAGAGAAATACATTCTCCCACAATATCTATAGGTGAACCGCTAATGGAGTCAGTGTACAATGTACTAATATAAATGATTTTGAGAAAATATGCATGTTTTTTGTAGATATTGTTCAGATTTATCTGTCAAGATAAGTAAATATTTTTTGACAAGCACCATAAACACTTCAGATCTGGTTCGCTGCAAGCAGGATATGGTGCTAAATTGAAACTAGTTTTAACGTGTTTTTCTCACAACAAGAAGCCATTTGAAGTGCTTCATACCCTTTGAATTTATTCAATTATATTTTCTTCAGTCAGGTATTTACGTGGGCCTCTTGTGTCGGTATGATGCACTACAAAGTTACTTTTTTGAAAACATATTTTTAAAGTAATTTAAGCATCGCACGCACATTTTTGTTTGACATTTTAAAGTTGTTTCAACTTTATTGTGGATCTTTCTTTTAAATGGCATAGGTGATCCTACTTCATAAAAGTAGGTTAATGATGCGTTGTTTATTGTTGTTAAACATGTTTCCCTTTCAATGAACACAACTAAAGAGGAACACAAAGTGCCAGGCCTAGATTTTTGTGCCGGCCATTAAAATTCTCTTGGCAAAATACCTGTAGCACCAACCCCAAAACTGGTTGTCTTGATTGGGAATAATAATAATAATAATAATAATAATAATAATAATAATAATAATAATAATAAATAATAATGATAATAATGATAATAATGATATTAATAATAATAATAATAATAATAAT